CCGGCAGCGCCTGCTGCCGGGGCAGAGCCGGAGGGAACCCTCTGGGCAGCAATATTCCGCTTCACCAACCTCCCACCCACCCTAAGGAGCAGTCAGGGCCCTGACGGCGACTACGAGCACCGAGGGACTACAGGCAGCCACCATGCCCTGGTGCAAGCTGGAGGTATCTCATTAAAAAAAGTTTTAACTCTAATTTTCACACGGAATTATTCACAAACCAGTTATCACCACATCATAATTTTTAAGGTTGAAGGTGTCTTCCTTCCCTTCTCCTTCCACCTGAATGAACGCCCCAAAACAAGATGTTCTTCCAACCATGGAACAACTTCAATCACACTTCAAGTCCCTCTCTGCATCTTCCAACCCAGCACGTTCCAGGAGTTTCTTCCCCACCTTTTGTGAAAAATTATTTAGTGACAAACCCCAACAGCCGGCTGCAACCTTCCAGCTGCGCAGCTCTAACAGCGACCCGTCCGCAGCCCGACATTCGCCCCTCGGCGCCCACCAGCTCCCACCGACCCCCGCCGTCTCCCGACGCGGGGGGGGACTCCCAGAGTGCCCCTTCTCGAAATGCTCCGGTGAAGAGCAGCCCCAGCAGATCCGCCACGTTTCCTTGGTCTGGAAAAGGAGCTGCCAAACGCAGCACGCAGTATAATTTAGCTTCTCATAAACAACGTGAAACTAACCCATTTTCTACTCAGCTTTTCGCTTACAAATATTAATTCCTCCAAAGTTTGATGGTAAAACACTGCAGGCCATGGAATTAAAACTAAGGCTTGTATTTGCTGACATAATTTATCCTTTTTTAAATAGAAGCATGAATTATTTAGCGCTATCTTTGACTTCACAGACCTTTCAAAACTGCTTCCATTACTGCACAAAATGCTTGCGTTGGACTCCTCCTGACCCCCGTGCAGCTCACCCTCAGGACTCCGTCTCTTCCATCATTTCTGAGCACCACGGCAACGCCCCTTCCCGCAAATCCATCAGCAATATTTCAGGCTAAAAATAACTTCCAAGAAAATAAAAATAAAA